GAGAGATGTGCCATAACAACCAACACTGCAACGTTGAAACGCATAAGTGTGAGTGTATGCCAGGCTGGCAAGGGAATGAGTGTAACCAACCTTGTCCCGATGACACCTATGGACAGAATTGTGGACAGGCCTGCAAGTGCGAGAATCATGTCATGTGTGGTAATATAGAAGGGCAATGCATCTGTAAACCTGGCTGGACCGGTGCGACTTGTAACAAGACATGCGATGCCGGGTTTTATGGTATTCAATGCGAAGAGATATGTAATTGTTCTAGTTCAGCCACATGTGATCCAATCTATGGCAGGTGTACCTGTCCACCTGGGTTGCATGGCGATAGGTAAGTAGCTATAAATATTATTTACAAAGGTAGGCTAATGCTTGTTCTGTCGTTCTATGAAGAGAAAGATAAAGAAGCAAAATTAAACAGGTAGTACAGTGAACACACAAATGTCTTGCTTACATGGGTGAATATAGCTCAGCTAAGGTTGTTGCTATAATCCTATAATAAATTCAACAGGATCCACTCGCGTGGCAGTTATATGTTGTTAATACGCCGATTAATAGGCCTGTTCCGCCTCGCCAGGTTAACTGTGGACCGTGTGCGCATAGGCCTACACATTCAGGTTAAAGCACATTTCCATTTTTGGCAACGTTGATGTCACCGATTAGAAACTCGCTGCAGCATGTTCTCGGCTCTGTTATTGGTGAAACCTTACAGGGCAGAGAATTTGCTGCTGTAATTTTCTAATTGGATTTCAGTCGAAGAACTGAGTGCTTTGCGGTGGCTTCGTATCTCTGCTGCTTTGCTCATACATTGTTATTTTTAGGGAGTTGTTTTGGTACTAACATGAGTCACAGAATGGCTCTTTTGTAGAAAGAAAAAAGAAAAGTAAGATAAACTCTGAACTGATGAGATGAAAAGAAAGAAAAGTAATGGAAAAAATAAGATGAAAAGAAGGACAAGGATAAGATTAGATGTAAAGAAACAAAAAAGGAAAAGCCTATTAATATTTTTTAATTTGATCCCGTATTCTGATTTTTCAATGTTTTAATAAGTTTTTTTTTTCATATGAAATATAATATGAAGTCAATTTATAAAATGATAAATAGATCATACTTTTATAACATAAATCCATAAAAGAATCAGATTCAGATATTTATTTCGTTAAAATATCAGTAGGCCTATATATCATAATATGTGGTTTCCACAGTTCAGATATACAATGAAGGCCTATCGATACTGTATGATGACAGTGTTAAGTATTGTTTTATTAACAAATTCTTACTTTATGAATCGTTTCTGTTTTATGCAATTTGGAGTTGTAGGCCTATAGCTTAAGATGCTTGCCTTTTAATCCCATGGTCCTTGATTTCTTTTCCTGTGATAGCAGGACTTTTCTCTTACTACTAAAACAACCCCATAACAAGACTTGGCTTATAAAGCATTATCCATCCCGTAATTGGCAAGTTTAAGCAGGGCCTTCACAGCGCCGGACGACCGTCGGCCGAACCCAACTCAGCTCCCAGTGAAAGATAGGAGACAAGAGTCCGTCTGCTGATTGTCGGTGGCAGTCTAAACGATCCGTTGCGTGCGCGTAGTAGCGTTGTGTTCTCCATAGAATCGCGTCGGCTGACGACCGTCGGGCCAGTGAGTGCCCGTGTATTGACTTGCTGTTGGATGCGAATAAAAAAAAGTTGGTAATATTGACTCCATATGCATGTAAACAAAAGTACGGTATATAAGAAAAAATATAAAATGTCGATACTATGTTCCGTTTTTTATTCAACTCCATAAGGTGTCAAACGACATGTCCTGCTGGATTTTATGGCGTGAACTGTTCGTCTAGTTGTCTCTGTGACGTCACACAAGAGTGCGATCCCGTGACTGGTGAATGTGAAGGTAATTAGGGTTTTAAAGCGTTTGTTTTTATTACTATCATAGATGTCGACAAATTCGAATATAATTTCCGTTAATATAAATCATTTTATTCATTAGTTAGTAAATCCTACAGTGTATTCTTTAGTGGCAGAACTTGAATACAATGGGGTAGGTCATCAATTACGGCCACACGAAAGTATCAGATAAATGTTTTTAAATATTGTTTTATTAACGCATTGTTCAAAATTTTGATCGTGCCTGCTTTGCTATTGTTATAATATTGTAGCTAAAGAGTTTGATGATCCATGATTAATTTATACTTTTATATCAGTCATACTAACAGAAGTGAAAACGAGAAAGCAGGATGCAACCAAATCTCTCACACTTGGAGTTGGCATATCTGCAATTATCTTGTTTCTGATCATACTCCTGCTTGGTGCTACAGTGATGCTGTGTAAGAGAAGTATCCGAAAGCGACGAGAGACTATGACTAATGCCGAACACCTTTGTCAGACGCTGGGGAGCCATGAACTTTCAGGTAGAGCCACCATCCATCCAATAGTTCATTTATTTCAACCATTCCAGTTTAATGAAAGATACCCGGTATTGGTTGGTTTCTTCAAAACTGATCTATCGGTAGGGGCCCTGTATCAGCTCTCATTTGTCAGACGCTTGGGAGCCATGAACTTTCAGGTAGAGAGCCACCATCCATCCAATAGTCCATTTATTTCAACCATTACAATAATATTATGATGAAAGATACCGTATGGGCTAGGTTCTTCAGAACTGATCTATCGGTAAGGGTGGTAAACAGTAAATAAATGGTTAATTATTCTTCACTTTACTTTTAAAATACACTTTCGGTTTTTGTAAAAAATATGAGGATCATGATGGTTGTCAGTTGGTACTTCCTCCCAGGTATGAGGAAAGGAATTAAAGGATAATCTAGATAATTTGAGAATTTGATGGAGCAGATTTGCTTATTCGGCAACTTACGGTAGCCAAGTGTGTGTGTGTGCGCTAAGCCGCAGTCCTGCAGTCCTATCTGTTGACCTACTTGTGTCCAGCTGGGGGGGGGGGGTTGAATTCAAATTTCAAGCCGTTGGTCCCATGTGCCATTTATGTCTCATGCGCACATTAAAGAACGCAGTAGGTTACACTCAGGTACACTGTCCAATTCACCACCAGAAGGACACCGCTGGAAATAAGTTTTCTGGCATTCGTTTGCTATTTTTATTAAGTTACTCATCAACTCCTGTTCAGCACCCCTGTGTCTGGGTAAATTCTCCAAGTTGCACGCAGCGATAATAAATGATACTGGTAGTTTAAAGCCAGGCCCTTCAGAGAAAAAAAATGATATGTTGTACAATTGCTTTTTCTAAGACATAAAAAGGGTGTTTAACGAAAAACTCGGGAGCGGTTAAAAGAGATACAGATTTTGAATATTTAAAAAACTGGGGGAAAAGACCGTATTGTTAACTACAATTTTTTTACCTTTTCCCCAGTTTTTAAATATTCCAAAATCAAAGAGTGTCTTCGAAAAATCAGTTACCATCAGTACAATATATCAAAAAAAAAAAAAAATCCTCCGAATCCTGGCTTTACATTTTTCACAGTATGTAACAAACACCGTGCACAAACACAGTCTGGATCTCACTGGTCTGGCCAAATCCAATCAAACATTAAATCATTTATTATTATTGCTATAAAATTTGTGATGAAATTCTACGATAATATAATTATAAATGACCTTTAAGTATTATTTATGTATCCATTTTGCCTAGATATTGGTTTATCAGTTACGCGTCCTAATCAAACCTCAGCACACGGCGGCGACACTTATACAGTGGTTCGACCTCCAAAGTATTACATTGTAGAACCAAACAACTACGAAAATGCGGAGATAGCGAGGCCGTCCTCGGTAGCAAGACATGATTACGAAGACGCCGATAACTTAACAATTACAAATAATCCTATTGAGCATGATCAAAGCTTAGATGGCCAATACGAAATGCTGCGAAAAGAGCTTCCAAAACCACAAGATGGATATAATAATTTGCGAACATGGCCAATGGCTACCAAGAATGAGGAAGACTCTGCCTACGATGTCTTGCAACTAAAATATCCAGGCGAAACATCCACAGATTATACAATCACAAAGCCATACTCCCCGGGCGATAATGAACCAGAAAATACTGAATGTCCCCGAAAGGAAACTGTAAATTCTTCTGAAAGCAATCCTCCGCGAACCACGATGTTGGTTACTTCAGAAGCAGACTATGCACTGCCTATCAAACGTACCCATCACCAAAATAATACCTCGGATTCATTAGAAAAACGCGAGGATTTACAAGACAGCATGTCGCCTGATGATTCAGCCTATGAAAGACCCGAGAATTTTGAACAGAACTATGCAACAGACTATGAAGACCCTGTCATTTCTCACAAAAACGTTGACGTCAACACACATTTGTTTTCAGATAATGACTATAGTAAGTTAAATAGAAATGCAGTTTGTAGAAATCCTGACGAAGTAGTCGGTGGTGATTATGAGAAATTATCAAAGGCTGCAGAATTTAATGAAAGTGACGAAGAATATGATACACTTCGGGTTGTCAAGAAAAATCCTGAAAATATTAATGGTAATACGTACGGTGCCTTACAAGTAGGCATGTAGGCCTAAGGCTTCTTAACTGATATAAAGTTTTTCAATAATAATATTTTATTCAGGGAATTTAGAGTAGGCCTAATAGTATTATTGATTATTATATTGTTAAATATGTTTCAATATAGACGTTTTATACTTTAAATTTTAAGGTTTCATGGATTTGTGTTTTTTCCCAATTAAAATAGATTAAATATTAAACACAGAAAAATCTTTGGCAGTTAACTTTTGCAATAGGCCTATGTTATTTTGACATCAACATTGTATACATATCTTGATTACCTTGATATACGATCCGAAGAAGCATTTGCTTGTCCAAGAAGATAGTCACTTGCGTGCAGTACAGTAGTACATATGGGTGTGCAGATATATACAGGTGGAATTAAAAAGCAACCCCTGTTTCAAGCCCGTAGGCAGGGGGGGGGGGTGCAGAGGGTGCGGACGCACCCCCCCCCCAATTCCAAAAGGTCCACACTTTAAAACCACAAAATCGTTCCTAATCATTACAAAATGCTATAGCATGCATTGCATTATTTGCCAGCTTATCTAATCGTTGATTTTTAATAATGTGGTATGAAATTTGTTAGAAATTGATCGTCTCCGGTAATTGCAGATTGATCTATATAATATGAAGAATGTTACCGTACCTATTAGGCCTGCAGATGTACAGGACATAATAACATTACTTTTTCAGGTCCCAAACACACCCAAATTAATGAAAATTTAAATGAAATATTCATGAATTATGTGTTAGAGAAATTTATTATGTAAGACCACCAAATTTCAAAAAGTCCACATTTAAAAACCTATTATTTCACTAAAATTGTTCCTAATTATCGCGAAATGCTATTGTATGCATTACATTTTTTTTGCCCGCTCTTCTACCCGTTGGTTTTTAATAATGTGCTACGAAATCTGTTGGAAATTATCAGCTCCAGTGATTGTAGGCCTACAGATGTAAAGAACATGAAAAATTATAATTTCACAATGGTGGATTCAAGTGGGGAGAGCCCCCTAAAATTATAAAAGAAATGGAGAAAAAAGAAAAATCATAATTAAAGTTTGTCTGAGAGTGCCATTTCCGGCTACTTTGAGGTACCATAATCATAAATTTTCTTACCTCAGCCCCAACCATGGTGGGGCTGAGGTGGTATTGACCATCTGTCTGTGTAAGTTTCTCCCTTCACCCCACCCTCTATTTTTCCTGCTTTACTGTAGTTCCCTAGACAATGCTCAGATGAATGAAAATTTAAATAGGATATTACAAATTATGGATTTTAGAAATCCTTTAATAAAGGTCCTCAAAATGCTAATTAAGTCAGAGCTTTCAGAAGATTCGCCCCACCCTCGCGGGGATCCCTAGGCAGTGGCCCATCGTAAGGTTCATTTCGGTTGCAAAACGCACCTCCCCATCGAAAATCCTGCCTACGGGCCTGTGATTAGAGATGCTGGTGGGTTTCATTCCCCTCGCCGTTGAAATCGCTACATCTTGTGGTAGTGTGTTCCCAATAGGTACGGTTCTTCCAAAGACAGAGTATTTAAATTATAGGTATTGCGTGCTGCCTGGTCTGGATGATATTTTAATGAGTAACTGGATTTACTTGAAGTGGAGGAAAGTTGATGCTGACAAGATTATAATTTTTAATGAACATGGTACACTAGGCATAATCCTTCTTGTTACCAATTGATCTAGGTTTACACTGCAGCAAAGGTGTTTCTTGCCGTTCTATCATAGGGTGTCTATAAAACGAAGACCGAAGACCCAAAAACGAAGACCCATATTTTTTTCTATTTTATTTTAATGATAATACACCAGGCTGTCACAAAATCAAAATTACGAAATTATTTGGGCATCTGCTTGTAAAATTTTCAGGAGTCTTCATTTTATAGACACCCTATGGTCTGCAAAACGATGACCTCCTTATTTCTCAATTATCTTATTGTGAAAGTACAGTATTTCAAAGTCATCATAAAACTATTGCCAAGTACCTCTTTCATCGGAATAAAATGAGGAATATCAAGAAATAACTAATTGGGGCTTCGTTTTATAGACAACATATATGGGTGTCTACAAAACACAGACCGAAGACCCGAAAACGAAGACCTATATTTTTCTCTTTAATTTTAATGAAAATAAATCAGACTATCACAAAATCAAACTTACAAAATTATTATGACGCTGTTTGTGAAATTATCAAGGGTCTCCGTTTGTAGACACCCTGTATGGGTGTCTACAAAACGAAGACCGAAGACCTGAATAACTGTTGAGCTGTTAGAGCTGATTGGGATGGTTTCGTTCATTCTTAGCTGATGTTTCCTGGTGTTCAGTTCTGACGTTAACGACAAGAGATTAATCAGTTTTAGTCTAGATCTAACAAAATTTATGCTCGACCTTTTTTTCTCGTAGAAAAATATAGCTAACTCATCCTAAACCATATTAGAATAAATTTAAACCAAATGAGTACCATAACATTTTCAATCAGAATTAATAATGTTTGTAACAATCACCATTATAACATACGCTTGTGGTTAAACTATATAAATAACTATTATTAACATAATTTTGTTTCTTAATTGTAAAACTATACTAAGTCGGACGGGGTAGGAGGGGGATACTGATTTTCATTCACGAATCAACAATTCCAGTGCAATGCAAATCAACAATGATTAGATTATAATTCCAAACTTGCTATTGATGTTTACTCTAGATTACTTCAGTAAAAGAGTAATTATGTTAACTTTCTGTGGTTGTACCTTGTAGCTGTTGCTTCCAAAACTTCCACCGGGGATTATAACTGGAAGCTCGACGAGAGTGAAGTATTGTTTAATTTAATTTAATTTTTTTTAACTGGTATAAGCCAGCTTAGTTAGCCTGGTCGCCAATTTATATGAGGAGGGCTTCAAATGTAGGCCTACCTTCCTCGAACCAGACCACTCGGAACCTAGTTACGCCACTGGGTGAAAGAAAGGAAATTGCAATTCGTTGCCAATCTCTTTACTGTATATGTCTAAGTTTGGGGCTAAGTAAGAAATTTATAATTAAGGCACCTCTAGACGGCCGAATTTTAATTCTGTGACATTTATCAGTTAGACTAATGATTATGATAATGTTGATAGTGATGGTGTGATATAAATATAATGATAATGACGATAACAATTACCATAACGA